CACAGGCAGGGGCAAGGAAGGGCAGGCTCCAGCTGGAGCCCAAGGGGGCTGGGCTGAGCCCACGGGCCCTGTCTTGTGCCAATAGGAGCTATGCCAGGGTGTGAACAAGTCCCTTAGTGCCAGAGGCTGGGCAGCACCTTTGTGCCCAGCCTTTTCCAGCTGTCCGTGCGTGGCCTGGGTGGGGGACGTCCACGTCCCTCATGAAACCTTGGGGGCCACAGATGGCTACTGACTGCGGAGAAGGGTACACTTCCCCAAGAGCAGAGGAGCCCCAGTGCCCGGGCACAGGTGGGGGACGAGGAAGGGCAGGTGCACGTGGGGTGAGGGACCCTGGCTGTGGCTCCTGGGGACACAGGATGGGCAGGGGAAGGAAGGGGGCGTGGGCAAGGGTGGCAGGGGCTGGGCCAGGCGAGATGTGGTTTTATGGAGTGAACAGGAGACGGGCTTGAGTGACCTTTCTGGACAGAAAGCCAAGTTGGGGCTGCACAGCCCGGTGGCTCCCCAAGCCCCTGTTGTCCGGCCCGTGTTGCTGCCAGGGCGTCACTGCTGTGGGAGCACGGCAGTCTCAAGCCCCTGGAGGGTCCTCTCTCATAGTCCGGAGAGGCAGGCAGGAAGGAGGGAGCCGGCTCGGTTGCTCTGTGAGCTGTTCTCACGGCGTGCGCCTGTCGTATCCTGTGGACCTTGTTGGGGAAGGTGGGCGTAAATAACGTTTGGACGTTGGTTCCAGCAGTAATGATGGGATCTCCTCCTCTTTGGCAGCCCGTGGGCCATTGTGAAGCCAGGTGCCTCCTACCTGGGGCGGGCCCTGGGCCAACACCCAGGCAGGTGAGGCAGGGATGCAGGCAGCCCGCTGGGGACACAGGTTCACTCCCAACCCGGGGACGGAGCTGTCTCTGCTCTGCCAGGAGCCGGCTTCCTCTGCTTCCTCATCTCCAGGCTGCAGGGAGCAAGTGAGACAGTCTAGGAGCTGGTCCGAAGACACCCAGCCTGGGGGAGGCAGGGCCTGAGCCCAGTACTGAAGGGGACCTGTCAGGGCAGTGGGTCTGGTCCTTCCCGCCCATGGTGCGGTGACAGGCACAAGGCGAACAGGCACCCCTATCGTGGGCGGGGTCCTCTCCATCTCGAGTGCAGGCTGCATCTGAGGCCCTCTCCCCTCTGGTTCTCTGCGGCGTAAATGCCGTCAGCCTCGGCAGGGGCTGCTGTAGGCTCTGCTTGGTGCTCCATGAGTTTCTTGGGTCTGTGTGCTTACAGTTTTCATCAAATGTGGGTTTGGGCAATGATTTTCTTACTACATGTCTGCCCTCGCCGTTTCTCTTCCCTGTGGGGCTCTATGTAGGTCAGACCCCTTGAGGGTACCCCATGGGTCCCAGGCCCCAGCCCTTTCTTCACTGCTCCCTTGTGGTTGGCTCTGCTGCTGGGCCCCGTGCTCCCCTCTCCTGCTTTCCTCGGTCCTTCTGCTGTGAGCCCACTGGTGCCCTCATCACATCAACTTCCATGCTTTCCGTCTCCAGGATTTCCATCTGGCTCTTTATTCCCCTTTAAAACTTCACTGAAGTGAAATTCACAGAATGTCAAATAACCATTTGGAAGGGCACAATTCTGTAGCAATGAGTCCACGCAGCCCGGTGCGTATCCATGACCTCCGTGTAGTTCCAAAACCTTCCCGTCACCCCCAGAGGAAGCCCTGTCCCCAGCAGCATTCACCTCCCACATTCTGTCTCTAAGGGTTTACCTGTTCTGGGCATTTCCTATCAATGGAGTGATACACCATGTAACTTTTTGTGACTGGCTCCTTTCACTTCACTGTTTTGAAGGCTCTTCCATGTTGTAACCTGTATCAACGCCCTGTTTATTTTAAAGCTGAATAATATTTTACTGAATGAATAGACCCTTTTTTTTTTTTGAGATTGGGTCTTACCCTGTCACCCAGGCTGGAGTGCAGTGGCACAATCTCAGCTGACTGTAACCTCCGCCTCCCAGGCTCAAGCAATTCTCCTGCCTCAGCCTCCCTAGTAGCTGGGATTACAGGTGCATGCCACTATGCCAGGCTAATTTTTGTATTTTGAGTAAAGATGGGGTTTCACCATGTTGGCCAGGCTGGTCTCGAACCCCTAACCTCCAGTGACCTGCCCATCTCACAAAGTGCTGGGATTACAGGCCTGAGCGCCCACACCCAGACAACCCCATGCCTTTAATCCACTCATTGTTTCATGGACACTGGAGGTGTTTACATCTTTCAGGTCTCCTGAGCAGTCCAGCCACAGATATGCACATGCAAATATTTGTCTGAATTCCTGTCCTCAATTCAAGCCACGTTTCTGGGTCACAGGATAAGGAGGTGTCTAACTTTCTGAGAAACTGCCCAACGTTTTCCACAGAGGAAGCACCGTTTTACATCCTGGGTCTTTTCCACGCCTGGCACCTTGCTTCTCATCCTGCTCGTGCTTTCTGGACCCTCTTGAGCGTGTAGAGACATTTATACTGGGTCTTTAACATCCTGATCTGCCAAGTCCATCATCGCTGTCATTTCTGGGTCTGTTTCGGTCACTCGATTTTTCTCCTGGTTACGGCTCATATTTTCTTGCTTCATTGCGTGCCTGGTAATTGTTAACTGGATGTCATATTTACTTTGTGGATTTCGCTTTGTTGCTTTGTTGAGGTGGCAGCTGGCCCCCAGGATGACTTCCCTTGTGTGATGCTTCCCATTGAGTGTGGGCTGGACCAAGTGACCCACTTCTAATAGAAATGACAAGGAGGAAGGGATGGCGCATGAATCAGACGCACAGTGTGACGTCAGCCCCGCTGGTCCTCATTCCACTTGCTTTGGGAAACCGTGTCACCAGCAGCCCCAGGGAGAGGCTCACATGGCAGGAATCTGAAGCTCCCAGCAGCCATCTGGTCCATCAGTTCCAAGACATTCTCCAGAGCCCAAAGTCCCGGCCCAGAACATGACCACAGCCTCATTGCAGACCCTAGGCCAGAGCCACCCAGCTGGACCCCTCTTCCATTCCTGAGCCCCAGAAATTGTGGTTTTCAGCAGCTGTGTTCGGAGCCAATTTCTTATGCAGCAAGAAATAACACACTCTGTTTTGTTTTTCTCTGAATCGTGTTAGACCGTGTGGCTGCAGTTAGGTTGTTGTTAACATGATGGATCTTCCCAATACTTGCTTTTAATTGTTTTCGGATGGGTTTAGAGCCCCTATATTTAGTGAGCGCATCTGCGCAACTCAGGTTTCACTGTAGCTCCTCACAGCTCACAAGCAGAGGCACGCACAGAGGACGGGCGTTCCTCCCCCTGCTTTCTGAGGTCACCCAGCTCCAGCATGGAGTCCTTTTCCATCCACTTGCTTTCACTGTGCTCTGTGAGGCACCTTGAATTCTTTCCTGTGTGAGATCCAAGAACCCGTGCTCAGGGTCTGGACCGGGACCCTCTTTTCCAACATCTCCCCCGTGCACTGCTCTTGCCACTCGGTTAAAGGTCAGTTGCCGTATTTGTGTGAATCTGTGTTCCGGCTCTCTGTTCTTTCCCACAGATCTATGCGTCCATTTCTCTGCCAAAACCACATTCTCTTGGTTACTATTGCTAACTAGTGCTTGTAAAGTTGGGTAGACTAACTCTTTATAGTTTAGTCTTCTTCAAAATGGCTTTAGCTATTGCAACTCCTTAAAAAATCTATCTACATACTCCATATGGCCAAGTGCAGTGGCTCACGCCTGTAATCCCAGCACTTTGGGAGGCCGAGGTGGGCAGATCTCTTGAAGGCAGCAGTTTGAGACCAGCCTGACCAACATAGTGAAACCCCCTCTCTACTAAAATACAAAAACTAGCCATTTGTGGTCAAGGGCACCTATAATCCCCAGCTACTCAGGAGGCTGAAGCAGGAGAATCATTTGAACCCGGGAGGCAGAAGTTGCAGTGAGCCGAGATTGTGCCACCACACTCCAGCCTGGGCAACAGAACAAGCCTCTGCCTAAAAAAAAAACACACACACACACACACACACACACACACACACACGTCTATATCTATCTACTAAGTACCTTGCTGAGAATTGGATGGGAACGGCATTAACTCTCTGGGTTGAGTGGAGAGAGCGAACGTGTTCACTGTATTGAACCTTCCAGCCCACGAGCACGTTGTGATTCTCCGTGTCCTTAGGGCTTTGATTTCTCTCATTGCCATTTGCAGGGTTCAGAGTGTAAGTCCCGTCCACGTTTAGTGAGACTTTTGCCTGCATGCTGTGTGTGTGGGATTACGAATACCGCATTTCCAGTTTCGGCCTCTGTGGAGGCACCATGGTAGATTTTTGTGTGATTGACCTTGCCGACCTCACTCAGCTCGAGGAGTGTTTTTGTGGATTTCCTGTCATTTTGTACCTGGGTAATGGTGTTCTATGCAAACGGGGACAGGTGTCCTTCCCCTTCCCACCTGCGTGACTTTCCTTACCATTCTTGCCGCGTTGCCCTGGCCAGAATGACCTGCCCTGACGGGCGGGAGAACAGGAGTGGACACCCATGTCTTGCCTCAGCACTCACTTGCTCTTCAGAGACTGGGACACAGGCTCATGTGTGAGTGACAAAGTGACGCTTCCCTGTGGGAAAAGGGCTTACAATATAGACCACAGGACAAAGTCTGGAAGTTCACTGACACCTGACAGCATCCTCCACTTCCAGCCCGTCTTGCCTGTGAGTCAGAGAGGAACAGCGCTAGCAGGCAGTGAGCCCCTGTCCAGAGGCTGGCATGTGAGGGGCACAGCTGTACACACCTGGGCATGGCTGAGCAGAAGGTGCAGGTCAGGATTCGGACCATGCAGACAGCTGCCCACTGGCACAACATCTGTGGCATCCCAGGGCTGCCATGGGGCTCTCGGGCCCTCTGCCTGCCCCACAGGCCATACCCCTGCCCTGGACACAGCTGTTCTCACTGCTGGCCTCTGACCCGACATTGTCCAGAAGCCCCGACCCAGGAGGTGCTCCCACCACTGGCTGCACAGCCTGGACCCGATCCAGGCCCCTCCCACCTGAGGCCCTGCCAGGAACTGCCCGGCTGGACACAGAGGAGGTTCCTTCGTGGGCACAGGGAAGAGCCTCCCATGGTCCAGTGGAGGAAGCTGCCCGTGGGGTGAGGATGAGTCATGGGTTTGAGGAATGGCATGGCGAGGCTGTGGGCGGGGCTCCTGTCTGCCCTCCTCCTACATCAGGCCCCCGAGCCCACACTGCCTCGGCCTCCCTCTCACTCCAGAGCTCAGAGCCACCCACAGCCACAGTCATGCATGTGCCTCCTGTACACCCTGGGTATGGCCCTGGTCTGTAGCATCCAGGCCAGTGACATCCCCCAGACCGAGCAGGACCTGGAGGTCTCAAAGGTTTGAGGCGGGGGAAGGGGGCATGTTACTGTGGGAGGTCTGGGCTGGGTGGGAGCTGCAGGCCAGTGGGAAGCCCAGGATCTCAGAAACCTACAGGAAGCGCAGAATGGACGCCATGATGTCAGGAATCCCTCAGCCCTGCTCTCCATCTTTAGGGTGGTCTTTCTGGTTTCCCAGCATCCCAGGTGACTCCCTCAATATTTGGACTTTGGAACACTCCTGAGTTAGCACACACTGGTGGTTTTAAGTACAGGAAATTCCTTAGTCCAGCATCTGATAGATAGCAGACCAGACAGCCATCCAGTGCTCACTGCACCCATCCCTGTTAGACTCAGCCCTGCCTGCACGGGGTGCAACGAGAGCCACAGTCAGGCGGGACCCCCATGCAGCTGAAGGCCCCCTCAGTTGGCAGGGACCTGGCACTTCATGGCCATGGCGGCCAGCGACTCCACCTTCCTGGAGGCCAGGGATGCCCCTTTGAGGATCTACATCACCTCCCTGATGCCCACCGCCGAGGGCAACCTGGAGATCATTCTGCACAGATGGTGGGTTCCTCGTCATTGGGACTGGGGCTGGCGGGGGACTCAGCACTCCCCCATAGGGGTCCAGGACTGGGTGGGGTGGGCAGAGCTGGGCTCAGCCCCAGGCGTTTTCTGACAGCCAGGAGCTTCACCGTGGCCCCTCCATGAGGGTGGTGTGGAAAACCGGGGCAGCAGACGGTCCCTGTCCCCTCAGGGTCCCTGTCCCCTCAGAGCCCCTGCCCCAGGCTCTGAGTCAACAGCCGACCCCACAGAGCAGCCTCAGGTCAGACTGAGAAGAAGGTCTGGGCGGCTGCGGGCTGCGGTGCTCCTGGGACCCAGGGAAGTTCCTGCAGTGACCTCATTTGAGGAGTGACACTGAGGGCAACTCCAATTCAAGTGGTCACCACATTCTACTGTCACCGCCTTTCAGGGAGAACAACGATTGTGTTGAGAAGAAGGTCCTTGCAGAGAAGACTGAAAATCCGAGGAAATTCAAGATCAACTGTGAGCATCCCCAGGCCCCAGGGGCTGGCTCAGTACTGGCATGCTAGCCACGGTCTCCCAGAGGCGGCTCTGCTGGAGGGTGGGGCATGGGGCCTGTCTTGTCTCAACTCTCTCCGCTTCAGGGAGTCAGAGTGTTTGCTCCGCTCAAGCTGATGCTGAGCCCAGAGGCATGTTTTGCCTGGAGAGGAAGGGGAAGCACTGACTCTTGGCATGACAGTGACTGGACGTACGTCTGCACTGTGCCCGGGCACAGGGGACAGGCGCTGTCTGTGCACTGTTCACTCCAGCCTCACAGCAGGTCAGGGAGGCTGCAAGTGAGTAAGTGGGCAGACGGATAGCTGGGCAGGCAGGCAGGTGAGCAGTTGGACAGGTGGGTAGGTTGCCAGGTGGGCAAGCAGGTAGGTGGACAGGTGGGTAGGTGGGCAGGTGGACAGGTGGGTAGGTGAGCAGGTGGCTAGGTGAGCAGGTGGGTCGGTTGGCAGGTGAAACGATGGGTAGATGGGCAGGTGGGCAGATGGGTGAGTAGGTGGGTAGTTGAGCAAGTAAGTAGGTAGGTAGGTGAACAGATGGGTAGGTGGTTATGTGGGATGGTGGGTAGGTGAGCAGGTTGGTAGGTGAGCAGGTGTGCAGGTGGGCACGTGGGCAGGTAGGTAAGTGAACAGTGGACAGGTGAGTAGGTGAACAGGTTGGTAGGTGAGCAGGTGTGCAGGTGAGCATGTGGGCAGGTGAACAGATGGACAGTTGAGCATGTAGGTAGGTGAGCAGGTGAGTAGGTGAACAGATGGGAAGGTCACAAGTGGGTAGGTGAGCAGGTGGGCAGGTAACCATGTGGGTAGGTGAACAGGTGGGTAGCTTGGCAGGTGGATAGGTGAGTAGGTGAACAGGTGGGCAGGTGGGCAGCTGGGCAGGTGGGCAGGTGGGCAGCTGGGCAGGTTGGCAGGCAGGCAGGTGGGAAGGTGGGAAAGTGGGTAGGGGAGCAGGTAGGCAGGTGGGCAGGTGGGCAGGTGGGCAGGCGGGCAGGTGGGCTGGTGGGCTGCTGTTCCCATGGGCCTGGCTGCTTCCTGCTCACTCTGGGGCTGCAGCTCCGGCCTCTGACGAGCTCCCAGGCCTCTTTGCAGGAAAAGAGAGAGACCTTCCATATGTCCTTGCTCCACTGAATTCCTCGAAACAATTTGCAACTTTTTGTCTATTTTGTTAATTATTGTTTTTTTTTAAAAGACAGAGGTGGTCAGGGACTGGGGTCTCTTATCCCTTCCCGGGCAATGGGCCTCAAAGATTTAAAGGAAGGACACAGAGGGAATGTCTTGCACAGTTTTTCAGCAAATACAGTTTGCTTCTCATGCTCGGGACTTGCCTGAGGCCTTGCTGATCCCGCTTGCCCTCCCCAGAATCGAGGCACTCTGCAAGGTCCATTTCTTCTCCCTCTTCCCGCCCCCTGCCCTGTTTCTGTGCGGTCCCCCAGCGTCCTCACCCATCTTGACTTCTCAGTTGGAATCTGTCAGGTCAGAGCCCCTGCCTGCCGCGTCTGCCTCCGCACTGCACGCCTGGGCTCTCCTTCAGCCGGGGCTCCACGTCCCTCCACGCCACCTCTTCTCTCCTCCCTCTGGCTTCCCTGACCACGGCCCACGGCCCACAGGGGTGGTAGACGAGGAAGCCACTTAGTTTGGTGGGATGTCCTCACATCTGCACAAGACTCTGCTGGGATGGAGGCTTCCTCTTCCTCTCAGTGCTTCTCTTCTTTCCCAGATATGGCGGTGAACGAGGCTACGCTGCTGGAGACTGACTATGACAAATTCCTGTTTCTCTGCATGAAGAGCACCGCTGCCCCCAGGCAGAGCACCATGTGCCAGTACCTGGGTGGGTCTCAGAGGGCATGAGCTCAGCGTGGGTGAGAGGTCACGGCTACGTCCATGGGAACCCTGGGGAGATGACAGCTAGCTTCCTGTCCACCTCGGTGCCTGGGGGCTGAGTTTTTCTTTCTTGGTTTTTTGTTTGCTTGTTTGTTTTGCTTTTCTGAGACAGGGTCTCTTTCTGTCGCCCAGGCTGGAGTGCTGTGGCGCCGGGCCAGGCTGAGTTTTTCTGCAGTGATTGATTCAGTCCTCTGACACTGCATCAGAAACTGGGCAGCGGGGAGCTGATATGGGGCCAGTGGGATGGTCGCCAGTCAAGGAGCTGGGCTTGGTGGAAAGAATGCTAATTGGACATTCAACCAAAACACCCCTAAACCTATGATGTTCTCGACCAAAGACCCCAAATACCAAAAAATCCACATGGGCGCAGCCCTTCCCGGTGTTTCTGAGCGCAGCATTGCCTCTGGGGTCACACAGTGTCTTCTTGATCAACCCCAGCTGTGCTTGGTGAGAGTTGAACACTGGGGAGGCGGGTACTGTGCTCCCGTGACCCTGTAGACACCATCCTGAGCTGTGTGGACCCCAGCGCTGCCCAGAGCGGAGCAGAGGGGGCCCGGCTGAGAAGTGGGAGCTGGGGATGGGGAGCCTGGAAGCCAGGTGGACAGAGCCCCGGAGACCACCCTGGGGGCCTGCTCCAGACCAAACTCTGCCTAACCTGGGAGCACTGGGGCCTCCTTCCCTGTCCTCCCTCCCTGGCACGGCCTCTGGAGCTCCCCAGCTCTCATCCAAGCCCCTGGGGCCCAAGACTGAGCCAGCCTCCCCCACAGCCAGATCTGAGGAGGCAGACAACGAAGTCATGAACGAATTCTTCCGTGCTGTCTTGACCTTGCCCATGGACTCACGGATCCTCATGGGATGGCACCAGGTGCCAGGTGAGCTCTGCCCAGGACAGGCCCAGCCTCGGCTAGAGGAAAAGCAGCCTCCTTCTCAGCCCGAGCCCCCCGCTGGCTCTGGAGGACTCAGGTCACTCCTTCTTGGCCCCTCCCCAGTTCTCCCCCTGCCTCCTGGGGTGCAAAGGCACCTGGGGTGGGGTCCCGCCCCCTCCCGGCATCCTCTCCACCTCCTCTCCAGCCCTGGGGCTGCTGTGTCCCCAGCTGTCTCTTCTCTCTCTGATGCCCCCACTGCCCCCTCTCCTCCCACAGAGCCATGCCCTATCTAGGAGAGCTCCTGCCTGGTCCTTGCTGGGTAACGTATCCGCCTCGCCCACAGCCTGGGGCTGCCTCTCTGGGCCCCTGGGAATGACCCCACTGTGTCCAGTTCAGTGCTGAGCCTGCAGGAATGAGCTGGGGTCTGGTCTTGTGATTCCAGAAAGCCAGGCTGCTGACTTTGGACAGGCTCCCCATCCATGAGCCTGGCCTGTGTCTTGCAGGCGTTGTATTAGTCACCAGCTCGTGCCCTACAGTCAAACCTCATGCTTTTCTGGGGGTTTGGGGTGTTGGTTGGAAGTGGTGGGGCTGGAGGAGGAGGGAGGATGGTTTCATGGGAGGGCATGAGAAGCTGGGGACGTGCAGGGCCAGGTGTCACTTTTTCTCTTTTTTTTTTTTTTTTTTTTGAGACAGAGTCTCACTCTGTTGCCAGGCTGGAATGGAATCGCGTGATCTTGACTCACTGCAACCTCTGCCTCGGGTTCAAGGCTCCAGCCCCAGCCTCTCAAGTAGCTGGGACTACAGGCACCCGCCACCATGACCGTCTAAGTTTTGTATTTTTAGTAGATACAAGGTTTCACCATGCTGGCCAGGATGGTCTTAATCTCTTGACCTCGTGATCTGCCTCCTTCAGCCTCCCAAAGTGCTGGGATTTCAGGGTCACATTTTTAAGGGGGTGTCCTTGAGCCCACCCACGTCCTTCCAGGACCCCCCACAGCACCCTGCTCGTCCTTCCTCTACTTAAGTGGCCTATGAGACTCAACAGCTCACCTCTGCCTCCAGGAAGACCAGACCCCCGTCCAGCCACAGCTCCAGCATGGTACAACCTCCTCCTGCCCTTTCAAAGAATGTCCACAGCACAGAAGACGATCGACGTGGCCACCGTGTTCCGGTCCCTTCCTGCTGCACATCTGCACCTCGGGCGTGGGGAGGCTGCTCCCTGGGACCGTGTCTGGCAGAGATGATTAATAAACCCATACCACATGCTCTGCCTGGACCACAGTCACTGCCGGGTGTGGGATTCGAGGGCCGGGGCCATGGGGTGGGCCCAGCCCACCGTCTGGCAGAGCCAGAGCTGCCACAAGCCCAAGGGCAGTGTCCGCTGGAGAAAATACCTCAAGTTTCTTATCTACAGGATGAAAGATTTGTGAAATGTCTAGAAAAATCAAACCAAACCACTCTGTCAGAATTGATGAGCCCAGAGGAAACTCATAGTCTTAACACTGAAATAGGTTCGCAGGAAGGAGTTGAAATCAACGAATCTGTTTCCAGCTCTTGTTAGAAAAAAAATCATTAAGGAAAGTAAGAAAATAGAATTAACAGAAATCAAAGCAAAAATGTAAAAATCAAAGAAACTTATCCAGTTCCTGCACCTGTGCCCCACGGTGGAGAGGGGGTGGGCATTCTGGGATTTAGCTCACCTGTCAGAAACACCTGGAAACAGTTCCAGCAACTGTCAATGAGCTGATTGAGAGGAAACTGATGAAAAGAATCCTAGGGGATTATGCCATTTGACGCCAGAACACAGTCTCCCCAGCCATCACACTCCCTGCCTCGAGAGACTCTGGAGAAGGAAGTCCTCCGGGGCAGGGGGGCAGGGGTCGGCCACTCCGCAGGCATCACCCTCCCCTCCCTCAGAGTGCCTCTTGCCCCAAATGAGACTAAAAAGCCCTGCGCGCTGAGGGCTTTGGTCGGCCAGCTGAGTTTTGAGGTCCCTCAGGCACCAGGAGCCTGGGTGGAGATCCCGGGTGATGCCCTGCCCGGGGCACCACTGGAAACTGGATGCCCCTCTGAGGTCAGGCTGGCCCTACCCCGGGGGCTGACACACAGAACGCAGGTGCTGCAGGTGCTCAGGGAGGAGCCCATTCAGAAAGGCCTCCCATGTGCACCGCTGGGGGCAGGGGCATTGTGCTCTCTCGGAGCTCACCCCAGGCTGCTTAGCGAGGTGGATGGACTGTCTCTGGAGTCAAGTCTTGCCCGACCCACCCTCTCCAAGACTCCCTCCCTCACGTGCCAGGCTGTGGGTCTTCAAGAACCTGATCTCCTGGAAGTTTCTCCCATGGGTCAGATGGAATTTCACTCCAAATTTTTCACTTTGCAATGAAAGGCTCATCATGAAGCTTAACCTTAAAACCACGTGTTTGTCAGTAACGTCAGACTTTCGAAAGCTAAGGTTCACTTTTGGATGAAACGGAAAGCCCTGGAAAGGGTCAGGCTAGGACCCTGCACCGACAGTCAAAGGGCCTGGCTGAGGCTTCCCTGAGTTTTGTGTCCTCATCCCAGAATGAAAATGACCTGGTCCCAAATATGTGCCCAGGGTGGAGGCTGGTGGTCCAGGCACCCCTGGCTCCCTGTAGTGACAGGTCCAGCTCCCGAGCCACTCTGTCCTGCCCCAGGGCACCTTCCCCCTCCCCACCCACAGTGACCCCATGTCCCCCTTTCCCCGTCAGGAGGTTGGTCAGGACTGGTCAGGCTCTGGTACACCTAGGCCTGAAGATGGAGCTCCCCTGCTGCCCGTTCCTCACCAACCCCTGGCCTGGAGCCCTCCACTCCCAGGTGGCACCCACAGCCCTGAGGCCCTGGGCCACCCACCCTGGACAGAGGAGATGAACGAGGTCAGGTGGTGTGGACCCTCGGGTGCCCAGGAACAAGGCAGGAGCTGGCCTGGAGGCCGGGGCCAGGCTGCCTGTGCTCAGGACCTCCTGAGTGTGTCGGGAGGGGCAGCGCTGGTCACCTGTGGGCTGGTCTGCCCCCAGCAACCAGGACTGCAGTCATCAGATGAGATGGCACTCCCTGCAGGGGCAGGTGCCTGCCCTTGACAGGTCAGCGCCTGAGCTCTGTGCACTCGACGGTCCTCCTGTCTCAACCCCAAGCATAAAGGCTTGACCTGGTCCCGTGCGTCTCACAGGAGGGTGTCCCCCGAGGCCCCTGGCCAGGCTCCTCTTCTGATGGACACTGTGTTGTCTTGGGACTGGTTCTCCTGTCTGTCTCTGAAGCATCTCTGGGCCTCTCAGACCCACACTAAGGTGACCAAACCACACCCTTGTCACTGCACTCCCCCCACGCCTCTGACTGCCACTCCACCTCCTGGCCCCGCCCCCTTTTCCTGGCTCACCGGGAGCCCCTCAGCCCTGCTCACTGATGGCTCCCGCTGACCCACCAGCTTTTAGGAAACTGGCATGTAAAGCGCTGGGTGGGCACTGTGCCCACACCTGTGGAGACGCGGACTCACCCGCTGCCTCCGTTCACATTTGTCTCCAACCATCTCCACATGGTGACACTCCAGATGCTCTTCAGCTTCTGCCCCGAGCCCAGCACCCTTCCCAGCTCACACTGCATCTTTTCTACCCCAACCCTCTCTCCCATCTGATTCCTGAGCTCAGCCTCAGTCGCTCGGGGCTGAAAATGACCTCTTCCCACGTTATCTCAGCAACACAGCAGCTTCCGGGCCTCTCCCAGGCAACACTGCTCCCCAGGGTCCCGGCCCCAGCCCAGACACCAAGGCGAGCCCAGCACACAAGCTGCTCCATCGGCTGAGCTCTGTGCTGGGCGCTGTGACACTGGCTTTTCATGCTGGAAAAAGCCAGCGGCGTGGGTTCTGTTCTCATTTCTCTGCAGGAACAGAGCCTTGGGCTGAAAGGTTTTGCTCAAGGTCACACGGTCAGCTGGAGGCTGCCTGCAACCAGCATCCAGAACTCAGCTCGGGAGGACAGGATGGCTTGATCCACATCCTGGAGAACACGGTGGCTTTCCCCACCTCTTCTCTTTCCCATGCAGCCCTGCCTCACCCATCCCCTTCCCACCCCGTCCCCTTCCCACCCCGTCCCTTTCCCACCCTGTCCCTCTCGTCCTGGGTCTCCTCCCCCCATATGACAGGCTTGGCTGGGTGGATCCCTTCCCAGCTCTCCACTAGGTGTCTACACAGCAGAAATTGTACTGAGGCTTTCTTATGAGTGGGGGGAGTACTGTCATCTTTTAGTATTTGTTTAATTTAATTTTATTTATTTTGAGATGGAGTCTTCCTCTGTCACCCAGGCTTGAGTGCAGCGGTGCGATCCTCACCACACTGCAACCTCTCTGCCTCCTGGGTTCAAACAATTCTCCTGGCTCAACACCCACCCAGTAGCTGGGATGACAGGTGCCCACCACTATGTCCAGCTAATTTTTATATTTTTGGTAGAGATTTTTAGATTTTTTTTTTTTTTTTTTTTTTTTTTGCGGTGGAGTCTCCCTCACGGGAGTGCAGTGGCGTGATCTAGCCTCCCCGCAGCCTCTACCTCCCAGGTTCAAGGGATTCTCTGCCTCAGCCTTCGGAGCAGTTGGACTACAGGCTTGTACCACTATGTGTGGCTAAGTTTTGTATTTTTAATGGAGTCGGGGTTTTGCCATGTTGGCCAGGCTGGTCTTGAACTCCTGACCTCTGGTGACTAGCCTGCCTTGGCCTCCCAAAGTGCTGGGATTACAGGTGTGAGCCACCATGCCCAACCATCTTAAATAAACATATAAATCATGCGAGAGAATTCATAAAACAGGATATTCCATTTAAGGGAGACAAAGTTAACCCCTGTGGACCCTGCCTCCTCAGCCAAGGGCTCATCAACCTCACTGCCCCGCCTAAGCCACGCCCCACGTGGAGACCACGCCCTGAATTCTCCTGGGTTCTCTGCCTGTCTTTCTGGCTTTATCACATTCAATGCTCTCCATAAACAGCTCTCCTCTTACTGACTTTTCTCTACATGAAAGGGCACCATCTGTCTTCTTGCAGATGTCTTTTTCTTTTCATTTTAAAAATGACTTTTAGGTGGGATGCAGTGGAACACATAATCCTGACACTTTGGAGGCTGAGGTGAGCTGACCACTTGAGCCCAGAGTTTAAGACCAGCCTGGGCAACACAGCAAGACCCCCATCTGCACAAAACATACAAAACTTAGCCGGGCGTGGTGGTGCGCCCCTCTAGTCTCAGCTACTCAGGAGGCTGAATCGGGAGGATCGCTTGAACTCAGAAGGTCAAGGATGCAATGAGCTGTGATTGTGCCACTGTACTCCAGCCTGGGCGACAGAGTGAGACCCCGTCTCTGAAAAGAAAAAAGAAAAAAATAAATAGAAGACTCTTAAATTGGTAGTTCACTCCTAAGTTTCAAAAACCAAAGCGCAAAAGCGCACGTCAGAGGACCTGAGTGGTGTCGCCGGCTGCCCAGGCTCTCCCTGCAGCCTCCTTTGGAGGGGCTCCCGGCTCCGGCTCCGCCCAGAGTCCGTCCATTCGAATCACACATGGACAGGATGGGTGAGGCCAAGAGGGCGCCCAGCACTCCCTGCGCTCTGTACCCGGGTTTATTTTGTTCTTTTCATTTCACGAGCCGGTTAATCTTTCATCTCGCATGGGTTTAAAAAAAGGGGGAACGGATCCCAGAACTGCGGCGTCTTTTTCCTAAGTGTGAGCATCCCTCCTCCCCAGGCCACGTCTGTTTGGGGAGCAGTGTCCGGTGAGTGAGGCCGGGCAGTCCCTGCCTCAGTGGGTCCAGGTAAACCCAACAGAGCGGACCCTGGCCAGCTTCCCAACATTCTCCGGCAGATACCACGAATCCTGCAGGTGAAAGTCCACTCCCTAAGTAACGAAGAATGCAGACAAAGGAGGTGCTTGGCTTTTCTAGAAATAATAGGGCCTGTTTGCTTCTTGAGCCTTGGCTCAGGGAGCCGAATGGCGCGGGGCGGGGCGGGGAGGGAGCGGAGGAGAGGGAGGGCGATCCGATCATTTTGCCCATTAAGCAAACATGGGTGGGTCAAGAATTAGGGAGATGGTATCAGAACACAAAAGAGACACTGACCTGAGGAGATCATTTTTGGGTGAGGACACGAGGC